AAAAAAAAAAAAAAACAGAAAAGTATTTGCATTGGAGAACAAACAAACAAAAAAAAAAAACTACAAAAGACCTTTTAAAAAGGAGGGAGGACAGTACATTGTCATGTTTTCAGTAACCTCACTAAGCGACCTTTGGTTTTTATTTGGTTAAAGAATTTTTTTTCTTTTTGTCTCTGTGATGGAAAACTATTCCTGCATTTGGGCCTCTGTTAAAATCAGTCCTTCTCATAGAAACTGAATTGTGCCTGAGGACCACAGGAGAATCTGAACTCACTGGGTGAGACACACTGTGACACAGTGGTGACAAAATCTCACTAGAAGTGATTTTGACATAGAAAACAGGCTGTTGGTCGATCAGAACTGTGTGCATAAACATTAAAGGGATGCCTGTAGATTTTCTGTTATCTTTAACTGAGACAGTTGCAGTAGATCTCATTTTTAGAGAAAATTAATTTCTACCTGATCTATTCTGAGCTCTGAAGTTTCCATAAATGCTTCTGTGCAGCACTGGACCACAGAACTGGACAAAGATGAAGACAACTCAGCGCAATGTTCTGAGCAACCATTTTTAGGACAGAAGTTGGACAATAAGCAGAACATCTGTACCTCTGCCCATCATTCTACTATTATGGTTAATTTGGTTTGCTCCAATCTAAAGCCCAACAGCTTAACCTTAGAGACCTGCTGCACCAGTGCTCCCTCTAGTTACAGATGGAGATCATTGGTACATGACTGAACTCACTGATTAAATACATTTGTCTTCAAAAACACATTTTAAAAACTTTAGTTTAGTACCAATTTCTTCATTTCCCTCCACTTTACTGTCAGATATCTTCTCCCTGTAAAGTAGTGCTCTGTTTAGAAATTGATGTGTATGACAAAAAAATAAAATACAAAAAGCAAAATAAAAAAAAACATCATCATCCACATAAATAACTTTATCAGCCTAACTGAACATGGGAAGTCATTTATGAATAGAGAAAATTAAAGTCGTCCCATTAAAGTTCCTTGAGGTTGACTGTATGATGTAACTGTAGCTCTGGATGAAGTTCCATTAAAATGCACTTCATAACTCTCCCTCTTCCCTCCAATAAAGACATTTCATCCCAGCGCACATCATAAATGACCCCTCACACCCCCACCAAGGACTGTTCTCCCTGCTGCCCTCTGGGAAGAAGCTTCAAAGTATCCGATGCAGATCCAGGAGATTCCATAACAGTTTCTTCCCCACTGCCATTAGAATGCAGAATGTGTGTAAAATTGGTTATTCTATTCATATAAAAGAAAAAAAAATATTTTTTTGAACAGTAAATATACAATCATTTGTTTATATTACTATTTTTTATGTATTTATTACTTTTTCTAAGGCTGCACTTTAAAATAAGAAATTGTTTAGAACTGTTTTAAACTACATTTCTTTTTGTATACACTCAGACATACAGAAAGGTAAGATGTCATTCATTCTGTGCACTCTTCCAGAGGAGGGTTTTTCTAGTTAATGCAAAGATCAATGACAGCAAAGCTGCTATGAAATCCAGCAACACACCTCACAGATTGCTTTTTTAAATGTATTTTATTATTATTATTTTTTTATCCATTAACTGGTGATCTTTCATTTCTGTAGAGCATTGTTAGTAACCCTGAACCCTGTGGAACTCTTTTAAGGATTGAATTTTCTTTAATACATTTGATAATTTGATTGAATTGTTTTTACTAATAATTCACTAAGCACAGGGAGTTAACCAGTGTACAGTTAGTGCCAGTTAAGATTACATTTCTAACTTTAGGTAGAGTAATAATTTTAGAGAGACAAAAACCAGCATATTGGCAGCCATTTTAATCATCCTTCAAGGTCATCAACACCAGATAAAGCATCCTTAGAAATACCTTGTAGTTTATCTTTAACTGTTTTTAATCCACAATATCCAGATTAACCTCTTAAAACCTTAAGTGGGGTAATAACTCAGAATGCATAAAATTCCACTGGTAAAATTTTTACCAGCAGATGGAGCCATTGCACGCAGCTCCAAGCTGACACCTAAAGTTCCATTCCCCAACTATTAAAGCCAGAGGTCTGAAATGTTCTGCATTTGTGGTTAAAATGATGTAGAACAAATATAAAACAATAACACAATTACTGCTGTTCAAAAAAGACCTATCATTTTGAGAATAAAAAAACAACTTTGATTAATGCTTGAACTGATGCAGGTTGGTCTGTTTTCTAGTTACCCAATTTTAATTTATATATTCAGAAATTGGACGGTGTTAGCTTTCAAAAAAAGTATTACACACATAATTTGGGTTTACAGTTCCTAAGTTATTTGCCTTTTAATTTGGGTATGCAAAATAGGAGAGGATTACCCAAAATGAGGTGGATGTTAAGAGATTAAAGCAGCAAATGTTTCCATCCATTAAATCAATGATCATATTAGAACAGTTTACCTTTAAGTTCATCTGAAATCTCAGACCGTTGACTTTGTTGATGAAAAATATGTTAAAATAATTTCTTTTTTCTATGTGGTTTAATTTTTGTATTTGGTTCCTCACTTTACAATAGACTTTTCTATTCTTATCTCTCAGAAGCACGAAGGATCTGAGCTCACCACTAAACCATAGTGAACTGTTTATTCTGACATTTTGGTGATTGCAGTGCTGCAGTTTGTGAACTCCTCATTGCTGTAGCTCAGGGTAAGCTCTGTTTTAATTGGAGGTTAGTCTTCAACTGTGGTATCCAATGCTCAATAACACAACAATGTAAAATAATATTCAGAAAACAATATAACAATAAAAGTATTTTCTGATTTATCAACTGTCTTTTTTTTCTTTTCATTTTCTTCCTCCCTAAAACAGAAAAGTCCCCAATCAAATAAATGCTGCACAAAAGATTACTGGGTGGATGTTTTTTTGGTTTCAATAAATGACACTTTCTCAAGTGTTTAGAATATTCACTTACATTAATACCCATTACCATTGTCCAGTGTAGGGTATGCAATATTAATTCAATTCAGTTCAGCTTATTTATATAGCGTCAATTCACAACACATGTCATCTCAAGGCACTTTACAGTCTTTACAGTCTTAAAGAGATGCATATTTATTTTAGGATCCAAGATACTGAAAACAATAAAAAGACTGCTCTGATGAATGTGTGGAGCTGATAAGGTCTAAAACACCAGGGCTGATTTTCTTTCCTAGTCTGGCCCTGGAAGCAAAACACAAATTTCTATAAGTAGCTCAGAGTTAAAAGTGCTTCTGTTGTGGATCTTTGATGGAAACTTTACCTTTAAGCTAACGCCCCCCAAAATAATTGCATCATGCTCATATTAGCTTAAGAAACTGGACTTAAATAACTCATGATAGCATAGTTTCTACTGTTAAGAAAATTTTAGCATTGAACAGTAAGCTACTGAGCAAA